CGTTCTAAAAGAATCCTGCTACCAAAAGTCATAATTGTGGCAGAATCGCTCGCTCAGCGTTGGAACATCTCACATGCGGCAAGAAATGGTGTCTCAACATTCATTTTAAGCAAGCAATGAAGTAGTTGGACAGCGACAATCAGTCAATTCTAAGAGTCACATTGGTAACAAATGCAGTTACTTTTATAAAAATCTAATGAGCTAATGAATGTGGACAGAGGCTAAGAAGCAATTAGCAAGGTACAAATCATCTGTGACTTACCTGCATGGCAAAATAGAAAGCCAGTAGGAACACGAGAGGAATGAAAATGTAGGCGTTAGGTGCAGCACACAAACCAAACGTTATCATGCAGACGAAGAATGTTGTTGTCATGTAGCGCATCGACTGCATCAGCTGATTGTCAGCTATGGCAAAGTCACTCGAGAATCTATTCATTATCCGACCCTAAAAGGAAAAGGCGCATTTGCCGGGAATCGAAGAGAGGACGTCACAATGATACCAAAACGCAAGGTCCAAACTACCTGTGGAGTCGAGTCGAAAAAACTAATGGGAACGTGCAGAATGCAATCCATGAGACCACGATGAAGCAGCTTCACGGCATGAACACTGCCAATCGCCAGCATAATACTACCAGTGAGGTCGAAGATAACTAAGGAGGAAGAAGACCTTAATTTAATGTAATCCGGTGTCCAGAAAGCCAGTGGTGTTAGGAATGCGACTAGTCCCCACATGGGTATGAAATTGTTGACTTTCGCACAAATATTGCTGCCTGCACAACTCGAAATGGGACTCGCTTGAAGGCTTGTGTGAACACACGAGTGCTACACCCAATCAGCGTAAAATCGAGGAAACTGCGAGTAGTGTCAATGAGCGCCCAATAAGCCCCACGTAAATGCTGACACTGGTGGTAATCCAATCACCCTTACTTAAGTGGCCAAGTTCTTCGAGCAATTTCAACTCGATTAAACAACCTGCATAGGTCCCACGTATTCCTTGGATCCCCAAACGCCTCTGGTTATGCTCGTGTGTCAATACTTTCAACAGGTGTCTCAAGACAGTGCGACCTGTTATATGACGCTTAACTGTAGAAGTGATTAAGCTGCACTGCAAACCTATTGCCTGTTATCATTTATGAAACGATGATGATGAGAGGACATAACCGTCCATTCACACACTCGTGAATATAAACCAATGGGGATCCAGGATGAGTCACAAATGCCAATCGGCTTGAAGTGAATCCGTAAGCGTCCGCTGACAAGTTTGTGTCACAGTCAACGGCTACTAATTTGTACACTTTTATAGCAAATATCATAAGGGAACGTGGAAGGGAGTCCGTCTCAGTCCTCGTGCAAATTGAAAAAAATCCTCCCATTTACGACAAACAGTAACAACTGGCACTACGCCCTGGGACAACAAACTGCATACATCAGCACATCGTTCTGGCTCAAATCACCACAGTTTCGAGTAGCGAAAACCGATACTGTGAGACAGTTTTCTGACCAATGAACAGTTAAGATGCCGATCATTTTCTGATCAACTAGCCCACCTACTAGCACACCATCGTTGAGCCAACAGAAGTGGAAAACAATGTTGGTCATGGCCAGTCATCGTCATAGGCATTGGCTACCAATGTGCGGCTCACCTTGGGCCAGACCAATCAAACCGTAGATGCCCAACCGCAGATCCCTCAGGCTATTCATTCTGGCCACCTCGTCTCTGTAGCTTTGACTATCCATGGTGCCGGTGGCATTGGCCGAGTCGGTGAGGTTCTTGTTCCTTGCGGAATCGCCGGACCACTCGGCCAGCCAGATGTTGCTACCGAGCCACGCGATTTGGCTCATTAGGAGGAAAGAAACGCTGCCCACAAAGACGCCTATGCCAATGCTGCGGATGTAAATCCAAAAGACTTTGAACTTGACCTAAAACAGGGAAGTTTATCGGTTTAGATTGGAAGTGACTACCAAGTCGTTAACACAGCAACGAGGCAGTAAATTCCTCATGAAATTGCAAGTAAAAGACGTTGAAGAAGTGTTATCGCGAAGCGGCATGCGGATGCAACTGCCATGACCTTACCCGTCCGGTGGCGCTGGTCTCCTCTAGGGTCTTCTTCGGCGTACTCTCAGGTTGATTCTGTCCAACCTTCACCCAATTGTAGGGGACATCTGCCTTTCCGTCGATCCCTTTCGCCTCCTAAAAGAGGAATAAAAAAGCAATAACCACGTCATTTCGCGCCTGGTGACTATGAACGTGCACATCAGCAGTCAACCAATCGATCTTGCCTTCTTAAAGTCTGGAAAAAAGTGGAGTCCATGGTGGACACTTCCAGCCAGTGGACCCCGCGAACGATGGGGGAAGTGCAATGAAATTGTGCCTCTAATGGGGATGAGATTGTGCATCTCTCCTAAGAAACGCGTGTAAGCTGATGAGTTGGCACGTTTGGGTGAAAATCGGACATAAATGGGTCTGCGGCCAAGGCATTTTTAACATGAGACAGCTGCAGTTACATGGACCAACCTTAACTGAAACGCTCCCCAATCGAACGTTGTCAAACTTGGAGGATTTGGACTTGCTGCAAACAGAAACCGCGTTGTCTTGCTCGTGCTCCGGTTGCCATACCTGATCCTCATACGAAAATGCTAAAGGTGAAAGAAATAGATAACAAATGTGCGACTTGCATATCCACTGGTGCAAGTCTAACGTATTTTGACTGGTCGAGCAAGGCTGCAAGTACAACAGTTTATAATTATCTTGAAAACACGTGTGATTAGAGTAAGAAAATGAGTCGAAATCAACTTCTAAAAGCATCAGCATTTCATTACAGGATATTTGCTTCTACAACTTTGGGTCAGGGCTCTAAGTCTGAAAAACAGAAAGAACATACACTCAGCAAAGTCGCCTAGCATGGCAGCATGCTGTGTTTGGAAGGAATCAGATGGGGTACTTGATCTGAAGCTTGAGAATGATCTTTTCAACGACCTGCTCAGCACCTGTTCGCGATTCATTTTTTCAGTGACGAGTTGCTTGCACAGCTCTTCATTTCTCAGGAACATGTTCAACTGGCTATTCTTCTTTGCCATCAGCTTCGAGTACATGCCGTATTCCACGAGGCGGCCAACGACAAGCAAAGCAACTTGATCCGATTCGGCGATGGCACCGGGATGGTGCGTTGCAATAATTCTTGTCTTTCCTGCCAACAAACCCCGACGACCGATAACTTGAGTCAGCAAGTGGTTCGCAACGTGCGCGTCCACCGCCGCCAACGGGTCGTCCAACAGGTAAACATCGGCATCCGCGTAGCAAGCTCTCGCCAAACTGCAACACACAAAATATTCACCACTTACTACATCTGAGAAGTATCCAGCGGATACATCTGAGGACGATTAAAAGCCGAACCTGCGTAAAATTAGGACATAAACCAACTCGCATGTCTGCTTTTATGTGCATTTAGAGTTTTGTATCCCTTCAACAGGGAAAATTCGCAACTACCATCACGATCTAAATACGCTTCCTACAACACTAGGAAAGCCATAGGGATCCAAATATTCGACCATACATGCACGCACAGTCGACTTTAGTTGCTATCTTGAATTGACGGATGTGTCGACATAATGGGGTGTCGTATTTTTATTACTGAAAAGCGGCCGAATTGCAAATGAGCAATTTTGGGTGGCGCCAAATTCGAACGTCCATCTGACCACTTACGCTGATTGGTGCAACTTAACAGCTACACACAAGTTCCAACCCCACCTATCGAATCTCGCCAGACGTTACCAATTGTTTCAAACCTAGACATCCAAGAGTAAGTTGGTGGGAATTGCAACCAGGCGGTACCGCTGCAATTTGGACAACAACAGCCTACCTGATGCGTTGCTTCTGGCCTCCAGACAAATTGACGCCCTTGTCACCGATATCGGTCAGGT